GGATTTTGGGGGGGGCTTTTTGGGATTTTTTTCGGGTTTTTTGGGGGATTTTTGGGATTTTTTTAAGGGATTTTTAGGGATTTTTTTCCCCTCCCGTTTTTAGGGAATTTTCGGAGGGTTTCCAGGGAGTTTTTTGGGAATTCTTTGGGAATTTTTTAGGGGATTTTTTGGGGATTCTTCGGGAATTTTTAGGGGATCTTTAGGGAATTCTTGAGATTTTTGGGGGGGATTTTTAGGGAAATTTTAAGGAGATTTTTTGGGAATTCTGGAGGGGATTTTTAGGGAAGATCTTTTGGGATTTTGGGGTGGATTTTGGGGAATTTGAAGGTGGATTTTGGGGTGAATTTTGGGGGATTTTTGAGCGGAATTTTGGGTGATTTTTGGGGAATTTTGGGGCAGATTTTGGGGGATTTTTGGGGTGGATTTTGGGCAGATTTTGGGGGAATTTTAGGGGATTTTTGGGTGGAATTTGGGGAATTTTGGGTGATTTTTGGGCAGATTTTTGGGAATTTTGGGGTGTATTTTTGGGGGAATTTTGGAGGAATTTTGGGGTATTTGGGGGCAGATTTTGGGTGATTTTCGGGTGGAATTTGGGGAATTTTGGGCAGATTTTTGGGTGATTTTTGGGTGGAATTAGGGGAATTTTGGGGCAGATTTTTGGGTGGAATTTGGGGGATTTTGGGGCAGATTTTTGGGCGATTTTTGGGTGGAATTTGGGGGATTTTGGGGTGACTTTGGGTCATTTTTGGGGTCTCCCCAGGCTGGTGACGCTGCTCCGGGATTTCTGCGGCCCCCTGAGCGAGAAAAGCCTGGCAATGAACCTGGGACTGGTGGGGGAGCTGCTGGAGGAACTGGTGGTAACTGGGATGGACTGGGAGGGACTGGGATGGACTGGGAATGGACTGGGATGGACTGGGATGGACTGGGATGGAACTGGGATGGACTGGGATGGACTGGGAATGGACTGGGATGGACTGGGAGGGACTGGGAGGGACTGGGAGGGACTGGGATGGACTGGGATGGACTGGGATGGACTGGGAGGGACTGGGATGGACTGGGATGGACTGGGATGGAACTGGGAGTTACTGGGATGAACTGGGAGTTACTGGGACGCCCCTTCAGGGCCAGCCCGGGATCTCCTGGGGCCGTTTCGTCCTTCCTGGAACCCCCAGAACCCCCCAAAATATCCCAAAATTCCCCCAAAAAATTCCCCAAAAATCCCAAAAAATTCCCAAAAAATTCCCCCAAAAATTCCCAAAAAATCCCAAAAAATTCCCCCCAAAAATCCCAACATTCCCCCAAAAAACCCCAAAAAAATCCCAAAAAATCCCCCAAAAATTCCCAAAAAATCCCCAAAAAAATCCCCAAAAAAGTCCCAAAAAATCCCCAAAAATTCCCAATTTTCCCTTTTTTTCCCCAAATTCCCAGGATTTCGGCCACATCCAAACCACGAGCCCCGAGATCCTGCGGAGCCTGGTGCAGTCGGAGCCCGAGAGCCCCAAACCCTTCAGCCTCCTCGACCTGGGATCCGTGGGGCTGGTGAGTGCCTGAAAATTCCCCGGAAAAAAAAAAAAACCCAAAAAATTCCCAAAATTCCCAAAAAAAAAGTCCCTGAAAAAAAAAAAAAACGTAAAAATCCCGAAATTTCCCCAAAATTTTGATTTTTTTCGGGTGTTTTTTGTTTTTTTCTCCCCAGTTCGGGGCGGAGACGCAGCAGAGCCGGGTGGTGCCGGGGGGAGCGGCCTCCAGACCCCTTCCCCCGCCTCGGGGGGATCAGGTGGGAGCCGGAATTCCCGAAATTCCCAAAATTCCCCAAATTCCCCCAAATCCCAGCCCGGAATTCACCGAACTCCCCCCAAAATTCCGCCGGGAACGGCGGGAGAACGGCTCCGAATGGGCTCGAAATTCACCCAAAATCTGAGCCCGGTGGGGAATTCCTGGGATTCCCTAAAAAATTCCTGGGATTCCCTAAAAAGTTCCTGGAATTCCCCAAAAAGTTCCTGGAATTCCCTAAAAAGTTCCTGGAATTCCCTAAAATCCCAGCCCGGAATTGCCGAAATCCGGTCAAAATGGTGGAAATTCCACCCAAAATCCGCCCAAAAATCGCCCCAAACCCGAATTCCTGAAATTCCCGAAATCCTGGCCTGAAATTCCCGGAATTCCGGTCAAATCTGCTCAAAACCGAACCCAAAATCCACGAAATCCTCCCCAAGTCTGCTTTAAAATCCTCCCAAAAATCCCCCCAAAACCTCTCAGGAGTTCCCAAATTCCCGGGAAAACCCAAAATTTTCCCTCCGAAACGCATCCAGAAATTCCCAGAAAAATCCTTGGGAAAAAAATCCCCCAGAATTCCCAGAAAAAACGCCCCAAAAATTCCCCCAAAAAATCCCAAAAATTCCCAGGAAAACCTCCCAAAAAAAATCCGGAAAAATCCCCAAAATTCCCAGAAAAAAACGCCCCAAAAATTCCCCCCAAAAAATCCCCAAAATTCCCAGAAAAATACCCCAAAAAAAAAATCCCAAAAAATCCCCAAAACCCCCTCAAAAAACCCCAAAAATTCCCCCAAAAATCCCCCCAAAAATCCCTAAAAAAAAAACCCCAAAAAATAAAAATAAAAATCCCCAAATCCCCTCAAAACCCCTCAAAAAAATCCCAAAAATCCCCCCAAAAAACTCCCTGAAAACCCCCAAAATTCCCAGAAAAAAAACCCCAAAATCCCCAAATCCCAAAATTCACCCCCCCAGCCCCTCAAACCTGAAGTTTTCGTCGACGTCCTCGAGCGCCTCTCGGTCGTCATCGCCGCCAACGTGAGCCCAAAAAAAACCCCAAAAACCCCCGAAATCACCCCAAAAATCGGGGTGGGGGGGGGGGTCCCCCATCCCGAAAGAATTCCCGAAATCCCGGATTTTTTTGGGGCAGGGAACCCCCCTGAAGGTGGACGTGCAGGGAGAGATTCGCCTCAAGTGTTACCTCCCCCCCGGCGTCGGTAAATTCGGGGAGAATTCCGGCGGTTTTGGGGTCCCGGCGATTTTTTTGGGCGGGGGGATTTTCCTCAAAAATTTGGGAAAAGTCAAAATTTGGGGGGGGGGGTGGAAATCGGAGTTTTAGGCGGGGGGAAAATGTAATTTTTGGGGGTTTTTTTGAGGGAGTTTTGGAGGGATTTGGGGTTTTTGAGGGGAATTAAAGGGAATTTCCTGTGGGCTAAAGGGTCCTGGAAGGGGAAAAATGGGCGGGAAAAGGGATTTTGGGAATGTTTGAGGGAATTTTGGGGGATTTTGAGGGAATTTGGGGATCCTGGAGAGTCTCAGAAATTTGGGGGGGATTTCGGGCGAGTTTAAGGGAATTTTTTTGGCGAATTTGGGGCGAATTAAAGGGAATTTCGTGAGGGCCGAAGGGTCCTGGAAGGGGAGAAAAAGGGCGGGAAAAGGGAATTTGGGAATGTTTGAGGGAATTTTGGGGGATTTTGAGGGAATTTTGGGAATCCTGGAGGGATTTTGGAGGGTCCCAAAAAATCTGGGGGATTTGGGGGAATTTTAGGCAAATTTTGGGAGAATTAAAGGGAATTAGAGAGAATGAAAGGGTCCTGGAAGGAGGAAAAAAGGGCAGGAAAAGGGAATTTGGGAAGTTTTGAGGGAATTTTGGGGCATTTTGAGGGAATTCTGGGAATCTCGGAGGAGTTTTGGAGGGTCCCAAAAATCTGAGGGGGAATTTTGGGCGGATTTGGGGCGAATTTAAGGGAATTTGGGGTGGAATTAAAGGGAATTTCCTGAGGGCGAAAGGGTCCTGGAAGGGGGGGAAAAAAGGGCGGGAAAAGGGAATTTTGAGGGATTTTGAGGGAATTTTGAGGGAATTTGGGGGGATTTTGAGGGATTTTGGGGTCCCTGACCCTCCTTTTCGCCCCCCAGAGCTCCTGATTGGCCTCACGGAGGAATTTTGCGTGGGAAAATCGGAATTGAGGGGTGAGACCCCCCCGGAATTCCTGGAAAACCCAAAATCTTCCCCAAAATCCCCTCCAGCGTCCCCCAATCCCAAAATTCCCTCCCCAAAATCCCTTCCAGCATCCCCAAATCCCAAAATTTCCCTCCCCACTTTCCTTTTTCCCCCCTTCCAGGACCTTTTTAACCTCACAAAATTCTCTTTAATTTTCCCCAAAATTCCCTTAAATCGCCTCAAAATTCCCTTAAATTCCCTCAAAATTCCCTCAAATTACCCAAAATTCCCTTTAATTTCCCAATATTCCCTTTAATTCCCCCAATATTCCCTTTAATTTCCCAAAATTCCCTTAAATTACCCAAAATTCCTTTAAATTCCCTCAAAATTCCCTTTAAATCCCTCAAGATTCCCTTAAATCCCCTAAAATTCCCTCAAATCCCCCAAAATTCCCTTTAATCCCAAAATTCCCTTAAATCCCCTCAAAATTCCCCCCAAAATTCCCTTTAATCCCCCCAAAATTCCCTCAAATCCCCAAAAATTCCCCAAATTCCCCCAAATCCCATTTTCCCCCTTTCCCACCTCCTTTTCCCCCCCAAAAAATCCCATTTTCCCCGTTTTTCTCCCCAAAAAAACCCCAAAAAAATGCCCCAAAAAAGACCCCGGAATTCCGGAACTTTGCGGAACTTCCCGGAACTTCACGGAATTCCCCCCAAAATTCCCAAAACTCCCCCAAATCCCATTTTCCCCCCCAAAAAATCCCATTTTCCCCGTTTTTCTCCCCAAAAAAACCCCAAAAAAATGCCCCAAAAAAGGCCGCGGGATTCCGGAACTTTCCGGAACTTCCCGGAATTCCCCCCAAAATTCCCAAAACTCCCCCAAATCCCATTTTCCCCCCCAAAAAATCCCATTTTCCCCGTTTTTCTCCCCAAAAAAACCCCAAAAAAATGCCCCAAAAAAGGCCGCGGGATTCCGGAACTTTCCGGAACTTCCCGGGATTTGCCCCGGAATTCCGGGCTTTCCCCGCAGGCTACGGAACGCCGGTGCGGGTGGACGAGTGCTCCTTCCACAGCTCCATCCGGCTGGACGAGTTCGGCTCCGGGAGGGTCCTCAGGGCCTCCCCCAGCCAGGGCGAGGTCGGGGGGGATTCCGGAACGTTCCGGGGGGTTCCGGGGGGTTCCGGGGGGTTCCGGAAGATCCGAGGGGTTCGGGAGGAAAAAGCGGGAGAGGGAACGGGATTTTCTGGGGGGAAAATGGGAATTTTTGGGGGGAAAATGGGATTTTTTTGGGGAAAATGGGAATTTTTTGGGGAAAAAAATGGGAATTTTGGGGGGAAAATGGGAATTTTGGGGAAAAATGGGAATTTTGGGGGAAAAAGAGGGTTTTTGGGGGAGAAAATGGGGAATTTTTTGGGAAAAAATGGGAATTTTGGCAGGAGAAATTGGATTTTTGGGGGAAAACTGGATTTTTTTGGGGAAAATCGGATTTTTTTGGGGAAAATCGGAATTTTGGGGGTAGAAATTGGGTTTTTGAGGGAAAAATGGGATTTTTTGGGGGGGAAAATGGGAATTTTGGGGGGAAAATGGATTTTTAGGGGGAAAATTGGATTTTTTGGGGGAAAAATGGGATTTTTTTGGAAAAAATGAGAATTTTGGGGGGAAAATGGGAATTTTGGGGGGGAAAAACAAATTTTGAAGGAAAATGGGATTTTTGGGAGGAAAAATGGGAATTTTTGGGGAAAAAATGGGGATTTCTTTGGGGAAAAATGGGATTTCTTTGGGGAAAAATGGGAATTTTGGGGGAGAAAATGGGATTTTTTTGGGGAAAGTCGGATTTTTGGGGGGTAAAATTGGATTTTTGGGGGTAAAATTGGATTTTTGGGGGGAAAATTGGATTTTTGGGGGGAAAATCGGATTTTTTGCAGAAAATTGGGAATTTTTTGGGGGGAAAACCGGATTTTTGTGGGGGAAAATCGGATTTTTTGGGGGGGAAAATGGGATTTTGGGACTCCAGGAGAGATTTATGGAATTCTTTGGGATATCTGGGATTTCCCAGGGGGATTTTGGGATTCCAGGATGGATTTGGGGGGATTTTTTGGGGATATTTGGGATTTTCCAGGGGGATTTTGGGAATCCAGGAGGGATTTTTGAGGAGATTTGGGATTTTTGGGGACTCCAGGCTCCCCAAACCCCCCCGGAATTCCCAAAATTCCCGGATTTCCCCCCGGAATTCCGGGAATTCCCGCAGATGACGCTGATGCAGTACCAGGTCCAGGACGAAATCCCAGCCCCGCTCCCGTTCCGGCTTTTCCCGACCGTGGAAGAGGAGCCCGGGGGAAGGTGAAAATTCCCAAAAAAAAAAAACCTGGAAAAAATTCCCAAAATTCCTTTCCGGGAATTCCCAATTTTTTAAAATTTCGTTTTCATTTTTCCCGATTTTTCCCAGCGTTTTTTCGGGATTTTTCCCTTTTTTTTTAGGGGAATTTCCTCCGATTTTCAGGAGTTTTTCCCTCCCTTCTGGGCCGGATTTTTGGGAATTTCCCAAACTTTGGGAATTTTTTGGGGAGGGGGTTTCCCCTTCCCGACTTCCCCCGAGGGAATTCCCGAAATTCCCGGGAATTTTTCCCGATTTTTGCCTTTTTCTCCCGGCAGGATCCGGATTTATTTGAAGCTGCGCTGTGACCTCCCCCCCAAGAGGTGAAAATCCGGGAAAATCCGGGAAAATCTGGGAAAATCCCGGAATTCTCGGCCTCCGGAATTCCCGGGTTTTCCCAGAATTCCCGGATTTTCCCCAAATTCCCGGTTTTTTTCCCCCCAAAAAACAAATTCCAGCCACGCCATCAACGTCCGGCTGCAGCTCCCGGTGCCCAAAGGCGTCTCCAGGTGGGGGAATTCGGGAATTTTGGGAATTTCAGGGAATTTTGGGGAATTTTTGGGAATTTTGGGGAGTCCTGGGAAGCGAATCCCAAGTTTTGGGTGGAATTCCAGGGATTTTGAGGAGGGATTTTGGGGATTTTGGAGGAATTCGGGGGTGGATCCCAAATTCTGGGAGCGGCCGGGTGGAATTTCGGGGGGGTTTTTGGGAATTTTTGGGAATGTTTTGGGGGAGTTTTGGGGATATTTTGGGGAATTTTTGGGAATGTTTTGGGGGATTTTTGGGGATTTTTTGGGGAATTTTTGGGAATGTTTTGGGGGAGTTTTGGGGATTTTTTGGGGATTTTTTGGAGGTTTTTTGGGAATTTTTTGGGGATTTTTTGGGGGATTTTGGGGATTTTATGGGAATGTTTTGGGGGATTTTTGGGGAATGTTTTGGGGGATTTTGGGGATTTTTGGGAATGTTTGGGGATTTTTTGGGAATGTTTTGGGGGATTTTTGGGGATTTTTTGGGGAATTTTTGGGAATGTTTTGGGGGATTTTTGGGGATTTTTTGGG